AGACAGATTTTCCTCGGGTTTCAGCCAGAGGCCTCTCTCAGCTCCTAAGGCAACCTGCTCTCCTTGTTACACTGTATTTTCTTCTTCCGGTCAGCAAGGACACACAGACTCCTTCACATGCTTCGAACTCTGACCACTTGTGCTTCGGTATTTCTCCTGCCACATCTCTTTTGCATCCCATCTGAGTAAATCTGCTGCTATGAAGCCGTGTGAGAGACTTTCTAGAATGTCCACTGAGAGGTCAAGGAGCCGTGACCCAAAGCAGTCACTACTCATCTGCTGAGAAACTGGTGAAAGAAATCATTTCATGCTATTTTCGGGGTGCATCCCATGACACTCAGGAGAAGTTGAAGAAGCCTTATAAGAAACTGGCCTGGAAGCACCATCTTGAAAAGAATGCAGTTGAAGAAGTAAAGCTTAACTAGATTTCTCTGCTTATGAAATGGTACCTGATGTAAAGAAAATGACAAAAGAAGAAAATAGTTAAAGAGATTGAAGCCTGCAGTGGTTTTGGTTCCTGCACAGACGTCCTCGGTATGTTTTCTGGAGGGAGACGAAGGATACATAAAGAAGGTAAAAATGTTAGACATCCATTCTCCATAACCGCAGAAGGTCTGTATAACTGTGTAAAAAGAAAATCAATGGCACGAAAAGACGTGCTATGTGACGAATGTAAGCTCAGCGGCATAAGCACCTGCCTTGCAAGCAGGCGGTCGTGAGTTCGATCCCTGGTACCGATAAAAAAAAAAAGAATGGAGGAGAATGATCAAAATAGCACCTTGAGTAGTTCAGTAAATTCAGTCTCTCAGCACAGAGCAAGAGAACATGGGAGAGAGTAAGTGTGAAAACTGCCATGCAAAGGAGAGAGTTCAAGAGATGATTGTGCAATTCATACTGATAACACATGAAAGCCACTAAAACAGTGCCACGTGGCGCAGAAGGCCAAACAGGACTGGAGCCAAGAGACACTGTCACTGGTTTAGATCAGAAGGACCACACGCTCCTTACTCAATGAGACGAGTATAACTAAATCCAATCATAAATCTTGTTAAATCATTGCATGGACTCCAAAAGTCACTCTGGATATTTGAATCTTAGTCGTCAGCTCTCACACTGGTCAAATGTTCCCTGAAGCTGAGATACTGGTGCCCTTTTATTGAAGACCATGTGCAAAAGTCACCTAATCACCCAGTTTACTCGGAAATTAAACCTCTGTTTTGAACTAGAAATTTTAAAACTCTATTTACAGAAAGGTGTTGATCTATATACTTATTTGTATTAAGTGGAATTCATTGTGATTTTCTGGACTTATGTGACTGTTTCATTACTTGGAAATGGTATAATGATGTAGAGTTTAGCTTATAGTAGTAGTGAGAGAAATGATTTCATGTGTATATATAACAGTTAAATATCATAGGACTATATAACATGTTTATGAGACATATTTACATCGTGACATATATTTAACATACAGTTAATTAGCCTTGGTTACATCTTAATTCCTTTTCTTTAGATCATAATAAACCTTTGAATATTGATTTCTGGAGCTGGATAACTTAGATATCAAAATGAAGAGATGTTTACATGTAAGAGTATTAATCTGCACTCATGATACAGGAAGGTTTTCCTTAGGCATGCTATCTGTATACTTTAAAACATTTGACTCTAAAGTGCTCTAAGTGACTGAAATTCAGTGCTCTAACGTGACAGTATTTAAAGTTGGGAATAGACAAAATTATGATCAATAACTTTGATTGTATGTTTAATAATCATCATATGTTCAAATACTCATGTCTGAATGTGATTAAGCAATTCTTGATGTGTATGATACACAGGATACATTGATTACAAAATATTTCCAATATCTGTTAGCACAGGCTTTTTCTCTCCAGACAAACTATTGGTTTTCCCCACGCCCGTGCAACTTTCAGTTTTAACACTTCAAAATTAAATACAAAAATACTGCTTAAATATTTAACACCAATTAAGTGTGGTCACACCTGAATCCCAGCACTCGGGAAGCTTAGGCAAAAGGATCATTGCAAATTAGAGACCAGCCTGGGCTACAAAGTGATCTCAAGCCCCATCTAGTGAGACCCTGTCTCAAAAAGACAAAAAATACAAAACATAACAGAAACACAAAAAACATCTTCTGTGTTTAAATTATAAGGTCCATAACCTTAATCACGGTCATCAAACCTCTTTTACTGAGTAATACAGTATATTAAGAAGTACATGTTTTAGAGAGCCTAATGTGGTACCAAAAAAAATGTAAAATGTTTCCTAAATAATTTTACATTTATCATATGTTAAAATTAGAATATTTTAGATATACTGGATTGAATAAAATATATAACAAAATTAATAGCCTATATCTTAATAGTATTTTAAAGAGATTCTAGAATGCTTCAAATAACCTACATAGCTGACATCCTCTCCTTGGACTATACATCAATTAGCCAGCACTTCTCCTGACCTAGAAAGAGAGGAATCCTCCTTAACCCTCTCTAGGTCTCTTAACATCAGTCTAGGCTACCATCCATTCTGTGATAAATGCTTCCCACACAATTAAGTGTGGTCTTGCACTTTAAGGCCTCCTATGACTCAGTATGGTATAATACGATTCAAAAGCCACATCTTCCATAGAAGAGAGCCTCAATTGTGACAGGATACAAAGCTTTTACTAGAGGGGCTTCTTTTCTTGTAAGAGAAGACCTCCTGGCCCACCACAGCTGTACCTGACTGCCCTGGTGACTGCTGAGCACTTGATGGAGGCCGTCTTGCTCTTCTTTTGATTTCTACTAGTTTGTGCTTAGAAGGGTTCTTCAATGAATGTTGTTCATTAAGCCAATTAAATGTAGATATCATTGATTGGCTAATTAAAAGAAAGAAAGATTTTGGAAACAAGTACACTGCCCCCCATTTCCCGGTAATGACTAACATTTCCAGACTGTGGTAGCCTCCTCTAGGCAAACCGAATAGTATTTAATGGTTGCATCTTTACAAGTCAAGACAGTGTAATACAATTCAGGAAAAGAGATAATCCGTTATGAAATGAACACCATAATTAACCAAATGTGTTCTTTACTGTGCCCTTTATTTAGCTTTGGTGACTAAACGAAACCACTGAATCTGTGACTATTTGCAAAGTTGTAGTTTAGAAATATTTTCGAATGTGCCAATGTGATGCTTAGCTGTATTTGTTTAATTCAGCAAAACACCAAAATGTTTCCACTACAGTGTTAGACACCCTGCACCTACCTTCGTGCTTCAACTCACAGAAAAGCCACACCATTGGTGGTCTCCAGAAGCCTGTGCCCTGTCCTAGTCATCCAACTCCAGGCACGGCGCAGAGCCTCCTCCTATCTATGCTTCACAGATTCTGGGCTTGGACCTGCCTCAGCCCCGGAAGGGATCCCACACAGGGAGGTAAAATTACAGTCTGCACGCTGTCAGCCACACAGCAAAGGGTCCTTTGCTGAGAAAGCACTGCGGATGGGGTGTCCATCTCCTCCCAGAGGTCAGCCTGATGGAAGACAGAACCATCAGAAACCAGATTCTGCTCACCATCCTCCTCCTCGGTAATCTCACTGGTTCATAGGAAACAATGAAGACCAATAAAAAATACAGTACGAACAGGCATTTTAAATAAAGTGTGTAACTGAAAAGATTATAGACCCAGTAACACTTCCTTCAAAATCTATTGTCATGTCTTTGTGGACTTTCCTGCTTATCAGCATTTTTTTTTTTTTCTCCTCAAGAAAAACACAACAGCAACATTTATTCAGGGGAAAAAAAAAAGGCAAATTGTGTTTCTCCCTTTCATATTACTTTATTGTTTGAGGTTCCTTTTAGATTACAATGTGATATTGTGATTTTGGGATGGGGAGAAAAAAAGCCCTTGTCTTTCAAACATAAGACTGTGATTGTAAGCTATTGTCACCAACTATGAGCTAAAGAGGTTAATGGATCACAAATCTGGCAAACAGCCATCCTTCCTCCAGCTCAGTGAATGACACAGTATACATTCTGTTGTGGCTGGTGAGTTCACGATTTTCTCTCAGTAGTTGGAAAATAAGTTTACTTAGATTTAAATCATCTCTTTTTAGAACTCAACAGTTTTGTCTTTCAGGTTAGCCACACACACACACACACACACACACACACACACAGTTTGAGATTTGATCTTGCTTTCTGAGGTGGTACTGAGTTGGCCTGGAGAAGAGGTGAGCGAAGCTTTTGAAAAAGTAGCTATGCAGAGTGAGCCAGGCAAAGGGCATCCAAACTGTCATTTTCAGATTGACTGCATTAACAGTGAAATTACCATAATAAAAAGGAACGCGCCCTGAAGAAAGCATAGCAGTTCTTTCTGGTGTAGTGCTGCTGATAACTCCTAGAGATCTCTAATTAAATGGGCCAAGCCTCTCCACTGACCTCAGGTTGACATAACTGTGCATTCTGTGACTCATTTCAAAACAGACAAGCCATCAGGAGCAGTCACACTGTGATTGATTTCTTACCTAATGGCCAATGTAGTGCATATTTACTGTAAAATGTAAGCAACAGACCTAAATCCTCTACAGCAGGGCTAGACGAAGGAAAGATTAAAAAAGAGAGAAAGAGCCTCTCCTCCATCCAGGCATCCTAAGAGGGAAAAGCTTTATCAATTAGCATCGATGAGAAGCATAGTTGCCCTGGTATTTTGGTTGGGAAGGGAACCAAAGGGAACAAGTTAAGAGAAGCAGCGACACGGCTGTCTCCTTAGATCAGAGTGGGTCACTGCAGGCAGGCCAAGACCAGAGTGACAGCTCGCAGAATAGCTTCCTTGGGCTGCTCTTTTCCTGGCGATGGCAGCCTAACTTGGGAAGGTGAGCTTGCCTGGCCTGGGGACTTGGGACCCGGAGAAAAGCTAAGCCCTGAGCTCCTCTTCGCAGGTAGGCAGTGATCGCCCCCTGCGACTCCGGAGGCACACAGCAGTCCACAGCACGCGGCTGACGCCGCCGCCCGCCCCTTCCCAGCTCAGCGTGCTGGAAGTACGCGGCAGCTGCCTGGACACTTCAGTGCCCCGAGCTCGGGGTCTAGGCCCCCTCAGCCAGAGACCAGTTTCGGTGCCGCCGAGACTGGATCCCTAGACCTCTGTCTGCCCCAGTGCGCGGCCACCCCATCACCTCTGCAGGTTCTCCAAGCTCCAGTCTCCATAGGCTCGGGAGCCCTGCGCACACACCTGGCCGCCCCACCGCCCTGCTAGCCAGCGGTTCCAGGGCCTAGGTGACAGGCATGGTGGCTGAGCTGCAAGACTTCTGCCTCGGGTAAAACCCTCTCTTCCCGGTTCTCCACCCAGGCCCTGGCCTCCCCGCGCAGCCAGCCGCGGTCGTGCGTGCGCTCCGAGCTCCGCGGAAGACACCTGCGCTCCGCTCCCGTCCCCACCCTTCTCCCCCTCCCTCTGCACGGCTTCTCGGCTGGCTTCTGCGGCTTGGGGGCGGCAGCTGGAGGAGGAGCAGCGGGAGGAGGGGAGCGCAAGGAGGAGCAGGGGCGGGGTGGGTGGCTGGGAGCGAGCGGAGAGGGTGTGGACAGGCAGTCTGCAGCTGGTCGCCGGGGACCCGGTCCCCGCTGCGCGCCCGAGCGATGGAGGGGAAGAGCGCGGCTTAGACGCACAGGCGCGCACACCGCAGGGCTCGTCTCCGGGACGCGGCTGCCTGCTCGGGCGCGCCAGGGCCGGGGCCAGGTTGCGGCCGCGACAGCGCAGCCGGGCAGCGGGGCGGTCCAGAGCCCGGCGCCGGCCGGAGGACGCAGGAAGAGCAGATCCCCAGCTCGCGGACTGCGGCTCCCCCGTGCGCAGCGCGCAGGACCGGCTGACCGCGCTGCCTGGAACGCTGCCCTGGGCGCGCACGGGGCCGGCTGGCGGCGAGGATGCGCACCTCCCCTGGCCCGGCAGTTGCGGTCCCCGACTCTGCGCGGACTCGGGCCCCGGCGGCCGCCCGTGCCGTGCCTGCGCCGCGGGAGCGCGCCCTGCCGCACCTGGCTCCAGCCCCCCGGGGTGGCGCTGGAAACGCGCCCTAAACTCCACTACTTCTGAGCCCCCACCTGGCTCCAGCCCCGGACCTCGTTCCGCCGCCGCCGCCGACTGCACTCAGGAGCGCTCCCGCGCGGCTCGGCTCCCCAGCCCCGCGGCTCCCCGACCTGCTCTCCGCCGCGCCTGAGCCGCAGCCTCCAGAGGAGCGGACCCGCTGCCGCCAGCCCCGCAGGATCGGAGCCCCGCGCCGGGCCGTGGTGAGCAGGGCGCGCTGCCCGCCTCGCGGGGGAGGAGGAGGCGAGGCCACGGGGCCGAGACCCCACTGGCACAGGGGAGGCGAGGACGCGGGGGTCGCCCGGGAGAGGCGTCCGTGGGTAACCGCCAGGAGCACATGGTGGGTGCGGTTTTTCTGGGCGCTGCCTGGGAAAGACTTTAGAGCTGTTTGCTGGGGTTTGGGGTCACGCTCCTAGGAGATGAGCAACAGCGAGAGCGACTCCCAGGGTCAGTGTGGAGGGTGTCTGTCTGTCTGTCTGTCTGTCCTCCGGGTCTGCGAGGAAGGGAAGGGGAGGACACTCGATCGCTGCTCCGAGAGTTTAGGGGTTTGCGCTCGGTTACTCCGCGGGGCGTCTGTGGCTGTCGCGTGGAGTTCCGGGGCGGTTGGTGGGAGGAAGGGGCTTTAGGGTCCGGGTCCAGGGCAAGCAAAGCCTTACTTAGAGCAAGGTGGCGGGGTGCCTTCTCTTTTAAGCGCCCCCTTTCTTGGCACCAGCCCCAACCCCGCGTAGCCTCACTTCGGCGAACCCCCCCCCCCCATCCTGGTCCTCGCTCCCCACAGGAGATAGAGGCAGCCCAGGTGTGGTTCTGGTCCTATTACCCGAAGGTCTTCCTGGTTACTGTGCTCCTTCCTGGAGCACTGAGATTCCTTGCCTGGAACTTGGGAAACCACCTTGTGAAGGGAAAGTCCTGGAGGAAGGATCGCCCGGGCTGAGGAGGATGCCCTTACCTGCAGGCGCCAAGCGCTCAGCCTGCACCTCAGCTCCCAAGTCATGCGCTCAGGCAGGCTCCATTCAGGTTTCACTCCCTGAGTTTTCTGGAGCACCCAACTAAGGGAGCTGCTGCTCAGCTCTGTGGTCTCCCAAACCTCACCAGTTGGGTCTGGCTAGCTGTCTTCCCTCTTACCTCTGAGTAACAGCAGTTTCTTCTAGGAAAATGTTGATCCCAAATGGCAGATTTAATATTTGCAAAATGCCTTAAATCATATTACTTTGTGGATAGATTTAATTGCATTGTAACTCTACTCTGATTTATGTAAACATAGCCTGATAAATAGCATACAAGATCAGGTTGAGGGGGAACAAAAGTCGGTGGGTATCCTTCCAGGGACATTAATCAATTCCAAACTGATTTGCTAGAAGCAAAAAAAAAAAATGGTTTCTTCTGAAAGGTGTTTGGTAGTGGTTTCTATATATTGGAGAGCTTTGGACAAATGCTTTCACATTAGAATTTGGTTCGAATATATTCAGCTTGCTTTCAAAGAAAAGTTGGGGAGATAGTAAAAAGATAAATTTGAATACCAAATATGACTGTTTTTAAAATGTTTATTGGCATCAGTTATATTGCAACCTGTTTTTAAAAATTCCTTTCTGTGGCTGCCCAGTGAAGTTCTTAGAAGCAGACAGGAAAACAATTCTACTTACCATTTTCCTTGGATTTGTTTACAATGGTCATTGCTCCAAGCCACTGAATTAGCATCAGGGCGGCTCCTTCACTTGGAGAATGTAAAGATTCGCCAGTGAGCTGTGATAAGACCCACGGACACAGAAGCTATTGCAAGAAATGTAAAGATGGAAAGGAAACCATGGTTTAAAATTAACTGCCTCCAAGGCGATATGTTTTAACAGTAAAAAAGAAAACCACTCTCCCAAGTTACTCTCTAGGTTATTTAAAAATACTCTTCTCTCAATTACTAAAATGCATGGTGATATCATTACTCAAGGAAAATAATATTTTCAAATCGATGCCTAAGCAGATTATATGCAAAATGATAAGCACAGTTTTCAGTGGCGAATTCCAGCCAGGGCTGGGATCATGGTTTAAAGCCAGACAGAGCCCATGCTTAAACGTCCCGATTCGAAATTGCTCCCTTTCACATGTTTTTAATGAGGTGCTGCTCAGTGTCTCGAGTTCTGGTCGCATCAATGTCCTTGCCATTTTCCAGGCATCCACAGATGGTTTGGAATGAGTAACATTCTTAGTGAATTTTCACTCATTCAGTAAGTTTCTACTGAGCACATGAATACACGCAGTTTGCAGAGCTGAGCTGGGGTGTTTTTCCCAACAAGAAGAAAGCCTAACGGCCAGAAGCCTTGTGCTTACTCCTGCACTGTGTACATAGAACCGCAAGACAGTGCCCAAAGTAGGTAGTCAACAAAGAGTTGTTGACTCAGAAAAAAAAAAAAAAAAATCACCAAAGATGTTAACTAGTCAACTTTGTTTTTACCCAGAATTCCAGCAGTATGCTTAGCCAGCCATGACATTCAGGTATGACTCAACTTCAGGGATCTGTTGCTGAGGTTCTCTTTCTCCTGTCTTTGTCTGAATTCTTTAATGTAACTTTCTGTGCCCTGCGTGTAACTTCTCACTCTAGCATTCTGTGTATCATTCCTCTGGAACGGTGCCAGACCTGAATATTTCATTAGTATTCATTTATGAGTAAATGCAAATGTTCTTGTTGCACTGAAAAAGAGAACTCGAATTCACAGAACCCAACAAATATTTTGCTCCTTAATTTTCTTATTTCTTTATTTTTATGGTCTCACAAACAGTAACATCACTTAAAATGCAATTATGTGTGAATGATTATTTGGGATTCTTTTTAAAAAGGGAAATGTCTTATGGGTATTTTAGTTGAGTTTTTTTTTTTTTTTTTACTCTGTTGACATGTTTGGCAGGATGGCCTTTTATTGTGTGTACTATCATTCATGAATAAATTAAAGCAAAAGGTAAAAGGAGTTATGATAGAATTCTTGCTAAATGCTCAGAGAAGACATTGTGAGCATTACTGCTATGATTTGGTCATTGAAATCATGTGGCTATATGTATATTTTATTGGACTTTATGTGTACAATTTAAATCTTTTAAAAATCTTTTCTTCTAGTTTAATATATTATTATAATTAAGTGAGTAGTAATCTGGGTTATAGTTTGTTTGAAGAAAAAGTAAATAGTTTGACAAAGGAAACCAAATCAAATTGAGGGGATAATTTTTCGAGTCACAGATTTGTCTCTGTTTACCTCCTGTCAGTTATTTGGTAAGGGAGGAGGAGTCAAAAACAAAATCACAAATAACTAGTTAAAGTTTTCATTATAAAGTTAATGTCACTGTTTGCAAACATTCTGTGTTTACATTTTTCTTTGAATCTAGTATGAATTCTTTAAAGAAAAGTGTAAAATATTTTTTTCTGGGATCTAATTTAATTGTTGATAAGTTTTGTTTCCTCTAGAATCAGTCTTTGTTTTGAGGGTCATGATGTTATCTTAATCTGCATGGCAGAAGCAGATGTTTGTACTGCATTTTAAAAATCCCTGATCTGAGTCAGACGTCCTTTTGAATAGCTAACATTTATCAAAAGTAAAAGTATAAATTGCGTGTAGAGAGGCGCATGATGTGAGGGGAGGGTAAACGGAGCTGTCTCGGTCTCTGTCAGGTTCCACCATCATGACTTACTGTGAATCTAAGGTGTGGTTCAGTGGGCTGGTTTTCTCCTTCTTGGTGAGGCTTATGAAACAGCTATGTCTATTTTAAGAAAAGGTCGAAGAGTCTATTTGGCTTTACGGAAGGTTTCACACGTGTAAGTTCTGTGTGTGTGTGTGTATGTAGACACGTGTATATAAATGTTATTTTTCCACTATATTTTGCTTAATAAATTTGAATAACAGATCGAGTATCCCCTCGGGGGTCTGTGTGCTTGGTGAAGTGGACATTATCCGGAGAAAGATACTTACATCAGGGTTCATCTGGTTTGATAATAAATTGCTAGACTTGCTAAACTCCCTGGACCAGTTTGTTTAAGAAACACCTGACAACTTTTAGCGTGTGTGTGTGTGTGTGTGTGTGTGTGTGTGTGTGTGTGTGTCTGGTAGCATACAGAGAGCTCTAGTGATAATGTCTTTCAATTCTAGTAGCCAGTCCGTTCTGCACAGAAGAATAAATAAGCAAAACTGTTCTTACTGATAGCACCACTTCGGAGGCTAAGAGGAGGAGGCTTTGTAAGGACTAAACAAGCCGGTCAAAGTCCAT